AAACAACACTGCAACTAACCACGGGTCAGTTTACCACTTTACTGACAATGTGCAACCAGCTGTGCAGCCTAGTACTGAAGCAGTTTCCTCTAGTGGACCGGAAAACAGCTCATCATCTCTACGTGATGAAGGGCACTTCATTGAGGCTATAAATGAAGAGCTGCTTACACATGTACAGCCAGTGGCTAATGTGGTTGTAGAAAATACACCATCTCATGGTGATGACAACAATCCGAAAGCAGCTGCTGCTACTGTCGTCACCAGTTCTACTGTTGACAATGACAGTGCTAATGATGTGTGCCACTCCGAGGCAGAGGACAAAGGCTCTAATGAAATGATTGACTTTTACACCTCAATCGACGCGAACTTGAAACTTGACGATGCAATTACAAACGTAGAGGTGATAAACGAAGTGCATTCAGATAATCGAAAAATTAATCAATCTCAACCTGAAGAGCTAGTAAATAACAATAATAATAATTTTATCTGTGATAATGCAATAATTGAGGAAAGTGTTGCCACTTCGAGTGCTGATGATTCAGTTCACCCAACTGTAGAAAATGAAACTGTGACCAGCTCAGATTTGGTGGCAGCAAAGGAAGTTGAAGAGGAAGATGAGATTACTACCAGCGACTTTACAGAATCATCAACTGCTCCACTAGAAGATTATTCAAGTCCAGTTGAAAATGTTGAAAGAGAAGCGGCCCAAACGTTTGCAGCAGAAGAAGCAGAAACAGCAGCAGGCGCATCAGCAGACACAGTCAATGACGCAGTCAATGAAGCTGTGTTGGGTGCTGATAGCACAGTGCCACTGACCGATTCTCCGCCGTTAGACATCAACAACATGTCAGAGGAGGAATTGGACAGATATCTAAGCGATTTGGTGGCTCTGGAAAGTGCTGGCAGCGCTGAACTAGCAAACAGCAATACGACGACGGCAGACGAGGCTGTGCTGGTGAAGGACTGCGATGAAAAGTTGAGCGAAACTCAACACAACGCAACTAGTCAACTCGAGAAGAGTGATAGTGTGATTGAAGATAATTGTGTTCAGCCAACGGAGGGGCACACTTTGGCCGGTGAAGAGGCAATCATAACTGGAGAAGTGGCGCAGTCGACTGACAGTGCACCAGGCGCTGGTAATGAGGCGACACTAGTGCCTGTCGATGATGCTGCCACTGCTGTTGAGCAGTGTCAAGTTGATGCTGCCATTGAATCAGCTGCTAATGATCAAGTGGTCGAAACCAGTGCAATTGTTACAGAGTGTGATTCCAGTGATTCATNTAGTGCCTGTCGATGATGCTGCCACTGCTGTTGAGCAGTGTCAAGTTGATGCTGCCATTGAATCAGCTGCTAATGATCAAGTGGTCGAAACCAGTGCAATTGTTACAGAGTGTGATTCCAGTGATTCATTTCCAGTCTCGACGGATCGCGTTGAGGAGTCTGTGGGCAGCAGCAGCAATACCACTGAGCACCCAGAGTCAGCCAGACCCAGCACTTTGACACTGTCTGGTGATGTGCCCACTGAAGAGTTGGTAGAAGCTGCTGGTGAACTTCAACAGGCAGACTGCATCGATGCACCAACAACGTCAACAGAGCCGACTCACTCTGATCACCCTCAGCCATCAACGAGCACCGGTGAGGCAGACAATCGTGGTGGTCTCGTCCTATCGACCTACTTTGAACGACAAGAGATGCCTAACGGATTGACCGAGGAGGAGCAGACGCTGGGAAAGGTGAAGCCATTTTGGATCCCTGACGATGATGCCCAGAACTGTCTGCACTGTGATGCCAAGTTTACCTTCATCAAGCGAAGGCATCACTGCAGGTTCGTTTTTAGTTATTTTTTATACCTTCTCTTTGCCCACAATTGTTGACGCGTCCATTTTTGTTTGACAGATCCTGTGGTAAAGTATTGTGTTCTCAATGCTGCAACTTCAAAGCGAAGCTAATGTACCTTGAGAATAAGGAAGAGCGAGTGTGTCAGCTATGCTACGCGATTCTGATTCGAAGTACGTAAATTTGACTTGAAATTGCAACTACACAAGTAGTAAATGATTGTTACGTTCCACTTTACAGTTGAAGAAATCGAAAAGGTCAACGGCCACCCGATCGACATATCTCAGATAGAGCAGCCCAGCAGCAGCAGCAG